CAAAGTATAAGCAAGTTTATGAAAATTATTAGAAACCAAACAAGCAGAAAAGTGATAGGATAACACACCAAAGAAATAGTTATAAAATCATTAAAAAACGAAAAATACAAGTATTGCGCATCCGATCAGTAAGAAGTTTTCATAGCGCTCACACAACTAGTAACTTTATCATAAAACAAAGCTAAAAAAATTTCTATTCCTTAAAAATCTTAAAACTACGAATTATAATTACAGAACCGCTAGGGACAAATTTATCCTGCCATATTTATTAACAAGAGGATATAAAACGCCAGAAAATAATGTGAAATGCCATCATTATAATAAAAAAGGAAAATTATAAAAGTTATCTACAAAATAACAGAAAGCAATCTGATCTCAAAATTCATCCATGAAATCCAGAGAAAACGGCTTTTTTTGGTCTTTGCCTCGTATTTTAAGGCTCAACTCCAAAATCCAAACCATCCATGAAATATGGATGAACTTTTTTGCCGCCATTAGATTTTTCATGGATTCCATTTAACTAAAGATCTTTCATGGATTGGGTTACTGTAAAAACAAAGCGAAACAAAATAGTAGATAAGACTAGTTCAAGCAGTCGTTCGTTGACGTAGACACCATCATTAATTTTGATGAACCTTGCAGCAGTGGAAGAAATAGGTATGTAGTTCTACAGTTGAAGGCATATTCAACGTGTTAGTAAAACAAAGACACTTTCAGAAGGAATCAGTTTTTATCAGTTACTGAAAGAATCGACACTTTATTGGACTGCATTTGCTTTTCGATTCATACATTGGACATTTAAATGGTAGATTTAACGTAATTCACTATCAATGACATCGGTCAAATGATGGACCAGTAATTTAGTCCGTATTAATGAACAACAAACTACGTCGAAATCTTATAAAACTATTTTACCTACACTGATATACTCTTAATAATTGCTGTTTAGCTGAAACAGAAAACTGATTGAGGTGGGCAACTGCAATTTTCTCAGAGACTGCCCGATGAGTACTTTTGTTAGTGCAGAGAGTTGTAGTGAAGGTGTTTTAGGTCATTTATAGAGTTATAATATCTTGTGAGAAATGAGAGGTGCGGCAGAGAATTGGAGTTAATGTAGATAATCCTCAGGCAGATGATTATTGTAGAAGAGGTTGGGATAGAGAAGTATGCATAGTTGAGGTGGTAAGCGGTCATTCAGTTGAGAAACTTGCTAAGGTGAGGCGCTCTGAGTAAAGAACTCTAGTTCGCTGGACAATTTTTAGAAACGTAAGTTTTATTTAGTTTTAGCATATCGCTTAAATTAGTGGGATTAGTAGTGGATAACATTAGCTAGCCATATGTTTATAATTGAGTAAAATTCTACTCTTAATAAATTTGAAGTCAGTATGAATGACATATAAATTAAATTGCAGATTCAATTGTCCGCACCGGCTGCATTTGCTTACAATTTACCAGAAGATAGGATTAAGCTACAAGCGTCCGTTTTTTTTTCCACAATTTATTCCTTGTATCGTAGCAATTCACGACTGCTACTGAGTAGTAAATTCCTGAATGCAACAATTTTACCAATAATATCTTGCTTCTTTACATCTTTTATTACCCGTAAAACAATTTCTTAAGTATGCTTCTTCGCACACCTCTTCTGATTTCATTAAATAGCAGTGACCTCTAGTTCTTTAGCTTCTTTATCTTGTTCGCTTTAGGTTTCAGAAAGAACATTACTGTTTTTAGTATTGACATATTAACATTAGTTATGAAACTTACGTTTACGGGATCATATTTTAGTGGTAGAAGATGTGAAACACAACAGTAATAAACAATAAACGATGTCAATAATAAATTTATAGAATAATTCACATTCTAGTGGTAAGATGTCATAATCAATCAATCAATCACAGAACTATTACTTCCCAATAGAATTAACAATAATAAATATTTGCGGACTCACATGCTCCTCTAGTACGGTCCCTACAAAACGTACATACTATAGGAACGCGTAAGTCGGAAGGGCATGTGGACGAAGACAATGATTTCAGACAAAACATTGCTCGTCACCATCGTTTACACACATTCTCTCTGTCCCTTTATATTGATTATCACCAATATGATCTTTGACTTCCTCTCACTTTTCTTCCTGTTTTCTCTAATTGCGGAAAAATTGCATGAAAATGACGAGATTACTGGAGAGAGATGCAAGAAATGGGTTGAATGTGACATGTAAGATGCAGTCGATAAATATGAGGGGGAAAGCATTCAAGTCAAATTAACCGACCGAAATGTACAGGAAAGAGTGACATGTGACCTCAAGCTATGGCAAGATGACTCTTTCAGCTATGATAATGATAGGAAGACTGATGGCATTTTGAAGGACGTAAAAATATAGGATTATAAATTATCGCATCAAAATGTTTTGTAGACTAATGATATTAATAAGTTGTCAACAAGATCAACATTATCAGTAGGTCAACCAACCATCGCTCCATCTACTCAATCGACTTAATGTTGAAAAAATAATGGAAGTACGAAAAGGTTAGGACTACTCTACTCTTTAGCGAATTGAGAACTCATTTCAAGCGTTGACTAGCATTCAGTGTATGCATCATCATATTTACTGTAACATGGAAACATGAAGAGTACTGCCCAAAAAATAAGAAAAAATATAGAATGTACCGATTGTTTCAAAAGGACATGCAACGACCGGATATAAAATGGAAAGATTTTCACAGGTTAAAGCGCGAAAAGGAGAAGCATAATTGTTTCATTTCAAATTAATAATCTTTAGAGCCTATCATCGATTGAAACCAATCGATAGACTGATTTTATCCAGCATTTGCTTACATCGAGCACTATGATTAGTAGAGTAGTACTGATAGATGATAATCGCTCTGCCTCTTATCACTTTCAACCTCTACTACACATGAACCACATGTCCATTCGTTCACTCTTTCCTACATGTCATTTCATTTTTGTTGCATTTACATTTTTGCCCGCCAAAATCCTTTTGTAGGGTTTGCTTTTCCTGGCGAAATGCATTTTTTTCTCATCTCTTTTTCATACTCCATTAAAAACGTATTTCCTCTTTCTTCCATTACTGCTAGACAGCCAGCCACTTGGGCGTTCAACGCATAGTAGCATATACACATTTTGATGAAAATTTGATTTTGAAGACTTTCACCATTAATCTCTCTCTATCTTCTCACTTTCAACTTCACATTTTTTTTATTTGATTTTTTTCTGAATTTTTCTGTTACAGAATCACTTTTACTGAATTATTCATATCATCTTCAAAACAAATTTTAGAAATATTTCAAATCCAGCCCTCAGTTTTTTCTAAACTTAATTCTTTTTATGGTAGTTTCATCGAAGCTGTCGCAAATTTAAAAATATTTATATAAAACAGGCAACAGCTGTGTCAAATGTCACCAATACTTTCGTTTTAAATAGATTAAATATATGAACTCCGTATTCATACGTGGCTTATTTCGTCTAAGATAAGCAACAGTTTCATTTTTTTTTGTTGTTTCTTGTCATTTATTTTTTTCACCAGCTTACTCATTTATTTACATTTATAATCTTACGTGCAAAATCTTAACTCACCTGTCAACTTAAAATTTGAAAAAAGTAGTACAAAACTGTCAAATTTTTACAAAATCAGACACTAGAAAATTGCTAACTCGTGCTGAAATTTTCATTTGGTGTTAAAAAGGATGAGATGGATTTCGGCAGTCCCTAACGCAAATAGTTGGTTTGTCTCTGGTTGTCGGCCCTTGCGCAATTGCTCACCCTCTCTTTTCCCATTGACCTCTGAACAGACGGCAAAGATTTTGATGCGCGCCAAGTACAAATTTAAATTTGCTTTCAATGACATTCAAGGATTTATGTATATTTGGGACTATATCGAGCTACGAAACAGGTGGAGCAGTCTTTAATACTCGTTGACCCTATAGAACACCTGGGAAAACGATAAGGAAATGAAGTACGAGATATTTTGTATATTTTCAAAAGACAAGACAGTTCTTTCCTATTAGTTTTGCATTGGATAGCTGTAAGTCAAGAAAAAAGCAAGAGTCATGAGTCAAAAAGAAGATAGATGAGCTGAGAAAGAGGAGAGACTGATCATCGAGCAGAAAGTCGAGAGTGAATATGCCTGAGTATGGGAGAGAAAGGTCATTAATCGTCCTAAACTAGGATAGCAAATTTGAGCGCGAAGGACGCAGGAAGCAATTCACATACCCTCTTCGTATGACCCAACAGCTATTGCATCTCATCATAACTACTTCATTCTACTGGAAATGTGTTCCTTGTTATTTACTCTCATAACCATCTTATTCATTCTCAGTATTCCGTTCTACGAATATTAAACAAATTTATTGTCTGACTTTCTAAGGAAATCGAAATGTGAGTGATTAAATTTGCTACACCAATTAACTCCATTCTATTATATGCACCATGTTCAAAAATTTTAGCCGCAAAAAACTGATTTTACAGGCATTCATCGCCTTATCTCTGTAAATTTTGTGACGACTGCTATTTTTGTATCATAATATTCCTGAGTTTTAGCTCATTTCGTGGTGTATGCATTATGTATGGATACTTACCGTTCATTGCCAGAATGTCGGTGAAATTTTTATGGTCTCAGTCAAGGATGAAGTTAGAATTTTCTCGAAAAGTTGAAAGTTTTCAACACTGGAAAATTTACGAAAGAGTGGTCAGTGAAATTCTGGACTATAATGAAACACTAAAAATTATAATCGTTATAAGAATTGTAATTTGTAGTGCTTTATTTTACAATATCAAATATTATAGAAGCCACTATAACGTCATTTAGCGAATGTAAAAAAAGAGAAGTTATGTGATGCAGTGTGGATGTGGGAGGTTAGTGAAAGAAATACTAATCATGCAGATATCAGCCTGTGGACGAAAAGGTAATGCAGTTGATGACTCTAAAGAAAGTGAGTAGTCTTTAATGCGTTTGGTGTGTTAAGAAGAGGAAGGAAAAGCAGTGAATAATCAGTCATCTAGATATAGGAAAAATTGGAGGGAATATTACAATACTGATTACATGTGGAGAACGCAGTTGTGCTATCGAAAAAAATACCTGCAGAATGAGTGGTGTAGAAATAAGGACTTGAACTTCAAATTGTTTCTTAATATTTGGACGAGCAGGAAAAAAGGTGACCAGAAGGATTTATTTTCATGATAGAAGCAACTAATGACCATTGGACTGACTAATGACGAGAATTAGATTCCATATTAGTGTACTGATGAATGGAAGTGACATGGATGAAACACTATCGCGAAGAGTTCGAGAATCGAGAATAGAAGCAAGTGTACAAAGGAGTAGTTCGTTTAAGATTTGCTTGTATATGTGAAAATGTTTTTAGTTACGTAATAGCAACAAATATTAGGTAGACTATTATAGTTCAAGTTGAAAAGATGACAAATAGTTGCAGCTGCAGTAAGGAAAAAAAGTAGAATGCAGGAAGGCAAGACATGTTTTTATTGATGCATAAGCATAGCTGATTCTTAATTGCAATGAAACCGCAGTAAAGGTAAGGGAAAATTAGCATCTAAAAGTACTGTTGCGGAAATGTATTTTATGTGTTGCTAGTTTCTCATGAAAGATAAGGATGGCATTTTGACAATGCTGATGCTCAGAATGAACAGTTGGAGACAGAACTTGAATTGTTTAAATACGTCATTGGTTGTTAATGAATAGCTGCGATATCATTTTCGAAATCTGTCAAGGACAAAAAATAATAGCATAGTGTGATAATTCATTATCATTCATCATCGACCTTAGATTGGTAAGGTGAAGTACATGGTTATGGAGTTGAAAAGTGGCACGTGTGTCTAATTTCCAACAGAGTTGAGTGAGGAGTAGGAGGTCAATAGATGAGGAAGAATCACAAGTGTAGAGTAATACATGGGTGCGTGAAATAAGCGAGGAAATTGAAAGTAAAGTGAATGGCATCATGGCGAAATTTGAAGGTTGACATTGAGAAGAGGTGCAATGCGTTGTTGAGTTAGCATTGAAGTGATCTGAATGCTAGTATGTTGAGGGTAGAACTTGAAGTATGTACTCCAATTCACCCTAGTTATTCAAAAATACGAATAGTTCTATATTTTTGTCATTTTGATTGATAATTGAGGTGTCTTCAAGTAGTAATGTTGAGAGCAAGTATTTTGTTTTTGTTGGAAACTGATTTATGACTTATTTAACTCCAGAATAATGTAAGCATTCAAAAGAATGAGTGGACATTGATTGTTACTGAATTGGAAGAAGAAGAGGCATTGTCGTTAAATAAGAACGGAAAAGAATGACCGTTATAATTCATTGGCACATTTTCACCGTTATAATTAATCACTTTTGAAAATGTTGAAAATTAAGTAAATCAACTGTAATGGAAGCTAAGTGTAAGCTAGCAGTAGAAATATGAAACGCAAGTGAAGAAGAATCAAACATATTGATTACAGAGAAAATTGAAAAATACGAAAAGAAGCATTGACATTAGAGTAAATACCAGTAAAACAAGTGTGGTAGTAATCATTTCTAACAGAGAAGTAGTAAATATAGTTAGAGATGCAGGTGTGACTTGTAACTTACCCCTACCACGCATTTTAGGTCTGAATTTGGTCGGACAATATGTGGACGGAAAGGAATGCTTTTGATACATTGAATATGTAGACCCATGGATGTCATGCTTGGTCACAGGACAGGAAAGCTAGAAAACGTAATAAGCCTGGCAGATATATAATTTGCTTATTACTGATATTGTTAGCACTAACGGAAGCAGAATAATGGAAAATGTCTCACATGATAGTTTGATATTTGGAATTAGGGCGTAAATAGATTGGACTAGCCAGTTTGTTGGATTGAGAAGCAGATGTAGTATAGTGAGTGCGCAAATATACACTGTTGATGTTGAAGATGCAGTGTTCATCATTGCAGGAGAAAAAAGCAGATGAGTTTTGTAATACTAATTGCTAACAGATCCATATACGAGCACTGATTATCATGCACGGTCCCTGTTGGAATGTTACAAGCCACTGATTTATTTGGTTGAGAAAATAACAAGTCATGATGGTATCACATCTATCTTTGTATGAATGAATCTTGTGAAAATATCTCACTCAGGTGCATGTTGACTGTTTTTCAGTCTGTCAGCACACACCTGAATGCAAGTGGGCACAAATTAGTGTGAAAAGATCAAGCGAATGGTAGCACCTTACATAGCAGTCACTTTTTTAGCGGAAAATCGGGCGTTGTTAGCTATTTGAGAGGAAATGCGTCGTCTTTACGTTATGCGTGTGTGCTTGCATTTGTATTTCAGGGAGTTGCTTAATTAGTCCTAATATTAACCTGCCAGTATATCCGCTTGTATAATTTATTCTTATTGCACTCTTTTTTGCTTATTACTTATTGCTTTTTGTATGCTATTCGTTCATGATTTTGATTTATATGAGTACATAATTATACAATTCGAGAATTGTAACAGATGCGTCATTGTTTTTTTATTTCGATGTGTAAAATGATTTTCAGCTCAAACAGCGCGCACAAGCCTGTTTGGTACGTTAAATTACTCCATATTAATCGCTATCAAATCAGTCTATCACATCCATACACATTTATACTTGGCGGTAAATAGTTGCTTTTCCATGAATTTTCATTCCAGTTAGCACTGCCTACTGCATGTTAATGTTTCTATACTATTTCTGCTATGTTCAGGTTACAAAAGTAATTCAGTGATACAAACCATAAAATAGTATTCATGAAATCTCGAAATTTTGACATAAAAGCACTAGCCATCATAAAATATATTTAAGAATAGAATGCCTGTGGATACATTTTTATTACGAAAATGTATATAAAGTTGTAATTACCAATAAGTGTGCCTAAAAACTGAGTTTATAACACACTTCAGATATAGATTACGATTTTTGCATGGAAAAAAAGTTGGAAAACGACAATAATTCTGCATACAAATCTGGTAGGTTTTTACTAAACGCATTTTATTGTAATTAGCTGATGCAGAACCAAAGTAATCCGAAGTATATCATAGGACTTTGTTTTGTTGAAATTGTTTTTTATATGCAATTTCGAAGCTATCAGATTATAGGGGGGAAAGGTGGATGCGTCATTAAAATTGATACCGAGTAAAATTCAGATATTCCTTTCTATGATTAGCATTTTCCAGTGATGCTTGGAATAAAAACAACTGCTTGAAATTTTCCAGTTCGAAATATGAAATGTTGAACTTTCTGTAAAAATTATTAAGAAAAATTTATTTAAAACAGAATTCATGTAGGCAAAATAAATAAAATCAAAAGTTCTTAAAATTATTAATTGTGGTGACATTACTAGCACGCAGTCAGTCTGGTTCGAAATTTTCGGAATTGTGCACAAAATTCATAAAAATTCTTGTAGGCTGGTTTGTTGTATCATTTGTTATACAATATGTTTCTGAAATTTTTTAACGCTGAACAAGTCCTGTTTTAGTTCTGCGATCCGCTAACTCTCAAAAAATACATTCGCAGGTATCGGAAAATATGTATGTAAGCGAAAATCCACATCCATCTAATCCAGATACAACTGATGCAGCAGAGGGAAGAGGATATACAAGACTTATTTCAAATAAGCGTAAAGCTAATCGAGACAGAGTTCCATTAAAAACTAGGAACGAAGTTGAAGAGTCTCATCCTAGTGGAAGCGAAAGTGGTATTTACAGAGAGGATGTAAATTTCACTGTAAGAACACTTCACGATGATAGGCAAGAAAGTGGCGCGATTCATGAATTTATGATAGATCCACTGAATATTGAAAACGTGCACAAGGAAGAAAATGAAAACACAACTAATTTTGACTTTGAAAGAAAATCCAAAATTTGTGAAAATGAATGGGATGTCAGTGTGAGTGGGTGGAAGATTGAAGAAAATTTTGGTACATGTCAAAGTGAACAAAATTCTTCAGTTGTTAAAGAAACTGTTTTCAATGCTGAAGAAATAGATAAACAGCAGCAGGAAGAAAATAAAGAAGAAAAGAAAATTAGGATAACCACTGTGGAAAAGGCTATACAGTATGGTGAAGACGAAGAAAATGAAAATTATTGTGATGGAGTCAAGAATCAGACAAGTCATAAAGTAAACAGAAGTGGATCCATTCGGAAAACAAAATCTTTGGGCATTCTCAATTTGAGGTTTTTATCCTTATGATAAAAAAATTCTTTGTGATCTTATTAGTCATCGGGAATTTTTATTTTTCTATTTAACTGCCCATTGTGTTGGACTTAATTTTCTTTTTCCGTTTTCCTTTTTACGAAGCGGAAATTTTTGGAAATATTATTTTTAGATTCCTAAGCGCAGTCTGCATACAAGTTGACAATACAGGGTGTAAAGAGCTGAATCTTGAATCAATCGTTCGTGCGATGGGTACGTTAAAAATGCAAATAATAACTAGATTTGACATAAGAAGATGGAATAAACGAATAAAGCTACTTTCGTCCTTCTTGAACATAGTACACGGATAGAAAAAACTTTTTAGTTCCTTATTTTGCTTTACAATATCAAAAAATATTCAATCACTTATGACTTGAATGAAACATTAAGATTTTAGGAGTTGAAAAACGACGAATTTATGATGTTGTGAATATTTATGAGTCTTTGGGAGCAATGCAAAAGTCCCATAAAAGTATTTATAACTGGAAAGATTTCTGTGACTTGCCGTCAACATTTCATAAATTGAAGGTAAAAATTTGTACTCTACTTCCGCTGCTAACTTAATTTATCAAATTTCTTACAAAAAATCATTCTTGCGTGAATACAACTTTTTGATTTGTAAATATTTATATTCTTAAAAACTATTTATTTTAGTTATCAGCTGAAAAGGAAAACATCTACGAAAAAGTAAAGGATATGCAGTGCTCTATGATAAAATTTGTTGAACGAATGAAAAAAAGCAAGAAAGCTGTGGGTAAATAATTTTATCGTTAAAACTTTAAAAATTTTTCTGGTCATAGAAGTATCTTAATGCTACTTCTAGGGTGGCCTATAGATTTCATCCATTCTTCTCCACTTTTAAATAAATTGTAGAGGCCGTTCTGCTAATATGGGTTCTTATTTTGGTATCATCTGTAAGCTTATCTTATATTTTTTTATCTTAGGTTTTTTCTAATTAAAAGACTTTCTACAAAAATCGTTAGCGTCATTATTTTACCTTTATATTAAAATGAAAAATAATGAAATAGCTATAATCATGAAATAAATTCAAATCTCCGGAGCTAAGTGATAACTGATGTGTTCTAAAAATATTGGTTCGCTTTGTGTACTATTCTATGGCTTCAGGTAAACAACTGTTGACTACATCATCAGAGAAAGTAAATGTCTCTTGTGTTACGGATCTATCACAGGCCAATATCAGTGATTGTAGTAGTTCATTTCAAGACTTGAATAATTCTAAACAAAAAGAAGGCAATTGTCATCGGGGTCACAATTCGCTAACCCATTTATGCACTAATTTTTGCAAAGTTTTGATATCGGGATTGGTTCGTCTTATTTATCTCAGTATTTTATGATGCTGGAATGCTGAAAATTTGAATAAATCTACAATATTCAAGAAAGCCTAATAATACAAAACCTTTGTGTTGATGGATGAAAGTAATTTAGGCAATATCTATTTATGTTTAGTATTTATCAAAAGCCGATTCAAAACAGATACTATTTCATTTTTTCACCTTTTCGGTTGAAGGAATGGATTCCGTGATCTAAATTGAAACCACATGGAAAATTTTAATTGAATTACAACTTCATTATATTCAGTTTTTTGTGTTTAAAAATTTTGTAACAGATAAAACTATTGATAATGGTCAGTTAGTTGATCGTGGCATATTCTACTTTTGTGTATAATTGCAGGATCGAGAACCTAACTTTCAAGTCAGTCTCGATGTTTTAAGTACCATGTTAATTACACCAAATGAGCGAACGGATTATAGGCCACCTGATCGGAGTTTGTACCATATTTTTAATAATTAATTAAAAATATCAATTGCTTGTAAGAAATTTTTGTATGTTCCTAGATTGTTGTAAAACTAAAGTTGCTAATATTTAGGTCGTTGTCGACGGATTTACGATGTTGCAAATGTTTTAACATCCCTGAGATTGGTTGAAAGAAGAGTTCGTATTTTTTCATCAAAAAAAATTCCGTTTTTTGTGTACTGTGGGCCAAAAATTTGCGGTAAGATTACTAATTTTTTTTTCTTTTGGATTATCCAATATGTTAGAAAAATAGCAGATAAATAATTTTAGAAGACGAAAAATTCGATATAGTGCAACATCTGTGTGTCAATAAATTGTCTGCAACTTTAAAGTATTCAGAAGAAAAACGAGCATATGAAATTGAAGAAAAAGTATTGGAATTGCATCACCAGAAGCGGTAGTCAATTTTTTGTTTTCTAATCGTCATTTTATGTACTTCTGATTCTCTCATTAAAATGATAAAATCTTATTGTCAAGTTGAATCTTCGGTATACTAGAAGGATTGGCTTTTCACGGTGTTTAATAATACCGCATTAAAATCATCTATATTTTCTCCTATGTTTTTCATTATATATTCATTTTTTATATTAAGAAAAAAAGGAGAGAGTAATGGGCATGATCCTGAAAGCGAAAATGATATCGAACCCTCAAAGCAACGTATGCGAACTGAAGCACAAGCAAAAGCTGTCCAAGATAACGCTACAACCCGTCATGTAATGATCATGCCGAAAACTGAAAATAATACATCAGGAAGCGCATTCGTACCAGTACTGCGTCCTCAACCGCAGGTATGTGTTCATAATAGGATTCTTAAAAAATCATGCATTTTGGATTCTTTATATTTTAAAAGCTTTTAATCTAATTTAGTCGTGATGAATTTGTCGTGACAGTACTTGTAATTGAATAAAACTAAAAGTCTTGCAGTCTTGCTTTAACTCTTAAATTTTTCCATTATCACTATTAATCTTTGCGAGAATTAAGATCAGTTGCAATCTTGATATATTCCAGAAGCAGATCAAAGTTAAAAATATTGATTCGAGTGCATGAGAGTTTTCAAGTATCAGTGATATTTGTTATTAATATTAAATAAATTCTATTTTTTAGATGTTCTTCCTGACAGTAGAGCATTTGCCGTTATTTGGAGTAGAAAATTTGTATTTTTTTCAGCAAATTATCAATTCTCCGACATTGATATCTTTAAATAATCCTTCGCAATCAGTTGTATCTTGGAATTCTCCTCAATATTTAACGATTCCTGTATATCCTAAACCACCTGCACAAGTTGTCTTTCATCCAAATTTGGATTTCAATACAGGGCCGTACAATGCAGTAATGTTTCCGTATTATACACTTTCTCCATATGTCCTGCAGCCTTCATCGGTTGAGGGAACGGGTAATGCGGGTGAAGCACCTCCAGTTCAACAACAACCACCTATTCAAACAACTGTACATTCTATCTCCTCACCATTTAATATCGATTCATTGTTAAACTAGTGAAATAATATTGAATTTTAATTTCATATTTTACTTGATTGTTTACAAAGTACTACGTTCATTCTGAACTACAATTTCAATTGCTGTATTGGAGAAAGTCAGAAAGTAATATGAATATTGAGGATGTATATTTTTGCGTACTTTTTTCAATTTATTTATACAGTTTTTGGAATGTACATTTTCACCAAGTGCTGCTTAACGGAAAAGTTATAGTGTATATTTTTTTTCCATGAGTATTAATGGTAACCACCTTTTACTTGTAAATGATTATTTGGATTATAAGTATCATTTATTTCGAGTCTTGTAAAATTATGTACCTGTAAAAAATTTTCAATGTTTCTCCAGTTATTTTTGATGTTTGGTGCCGACTGCTAATATGTGTCTTCCGAAACTTAAGTGTGAACTGTTTTTATTTTCCTGTAAAAGGTCGAGAGATAAATAGTAAGAAGTGGAGATGCATATTCTTTTGCTACCCATAGTGTTCTTGTTACTGTGCTCAAATTTCTGTAAATGTGTTAAGTTTTATTTCAGTCCTTATTACATTCCAAAGAGCATTCATTTACCTTAATTTTCTTTCTTAAAAAATGCTATAGAAATCATGTGAACAATGGAATGTTTTAATCATGATTGTTTTTGTGGTATACGTTTAAGCGGAATAAATTGCTGGATTTATGTTTCCAGCTTTGCTATAGACTATGTGGTGTTTGGTGAAGATGAAATATGATGAACTTTTGTTCTTCTCTGTTGTACAAACATTTTTCCAGGATAGTACTGCGAATGATCCCTAACAGATAGATATAAGATTAATTAGTGTGAGGAAAGTACGTTGTGTATGGCTTGCATGCAATTCATTTGATTATTGACGCGACTTGAAGTAATGCATATCAGACAGAAGTGCGCTGAAATGGTATTTGCGATGATTACTGTTGAAACGTGTGACAAAGAAAGACAAAAATAAGGAGAAGGCATGTGAGCGCGATCTTGAGACGGACTGGACTGCTTTTGACATTAAAACTTCTGGAAGAATTTAGAACTCGTGGGTTTAAGCTTCTGGATGGCTGATATATTAATTAATCGAATATTTTCATTACTTTCACATTATCGCAATTGAAATACGCGAAACAATGATCAACATCTAGCCTTCGGATTTTGCTGATAGATGGAGTCTTTATTTTTGTGATTGTGACAGAGTTTTCAAGTTTCGGGATATTTAGGGTCACCTCTAAGAATAAATTGAAGTACTGAAGTAGTATTCTTCAAGATGATACGCTCTGAAACTGTTTACATATATTTTCTTTAATGGCACATCTCAGAAATTACCATCCACTTTAACTTTATATTCAATCAGACCATCTAATGAAAACATTTACAGTATTAAACATCATCAATAATCACGGGAATATTTAGTGTTTTTCTGGACTTTGCATTAATCTACGGTTCCTCATTCTTATCAAGTCTACGGAATTGATCGATTGAGCTATTTTCAAGTGTCTTCAGCGCTTTCGATTTGACATATACCTCTACATGATCAGGTATACTGATTCCTTTTCGCATAGCGTTTATAAAAGTTCGTTACTGTCTCGTCTTATGTCCTCATTACAAACGGAATTATTTCCATTTCGCACTTCATCTTTGAACGGAGTTATTAACTAGTAAATGATTTCATGCACTTCTTGGCCTCCCTAACGTTCTAACCTTCCAATGTTTTACAAGCCAAATACTGTTCTATGGAAATTTTATGAAGTTATTTAAACGTATTTCTCTTTCTATGCTTGCCTTCCATTCCCATGGTTTCTACTGCGTTATTATATCATTGTGGCGCTATTGCTATTTGCAGCTGCCTTGTGATATCAGTTATTAACCTTGATTGATTTTGTATTGGATGTTTCCCGCTGCTTAGTTCACGGCCTTAAATACAAGCAGATCAAAGCTTTTTGAGTCATTTTCCTCTTTGTCTAGTCAATCTCGAGTCGCTTTGGCCTTTTGCATTAGTAGACCTTAGAATCCAGTGGCGTATTTTCCTCGCAGTTGTATTTTTTCCAGTGTCATGACAAACTTCGTTGATTCTTCTAAGTAGCATGAACTACCCGCATTACTAATGATTACAAAGTTCGCTTGCTTCCCAGTTTTGCAAAGTCCGCCGACACTCTGGCAGTACTTGTTCCAAGCTCAGATTTGTTGTGCTCATCATTTTCGCTTTGTGCTCGTGAAATCCATATCGACTGTCGAAGGAGGTGCTTTCGAGCGTCTTCTTGAGAACTATCGATTAGATGTAAGCCTCAACGTGGTTTGCTATACTAATCTCCTTCGCATAGCGTTTGTGGGAGTTCGTAACTATCCT